GTGTCAATTTAGGTAAAAATCTAAAGAGAACTGGACTGGCTAGATGGCTGAGTTCATAAATGTGATTGCTACACAAGCTTCATCATCTCAGTTTGATCCTGACCCCACAGTGGAAGAAAAGAACTGACTCTGGAAGGTTGTCCTCTGACTTCCACACATGTGGAAGTGCACACATAGTATGTGTGTGCATACACACATTCACACTAATAATAATAAAATTTAAAAACAAAGTCAAAAGAAATAATATTATACTGTGAAGAGTAGGAGAAAGCAGGGAAAAATTAAATACTTGTGAACTAAACATTTCTGGACTATTCCAGGACAGAATGCTACATGGGAACTTTTTTTTTCAAACTTCGTATTTCCAGAACAGTGAAAATAATATTGCCTCAAATACAATGGGGAAGGAGTAAAAAGGAAATATTTCTTGTAAGAAATATTCCAGAGCCAACTAATACCCACTTAAATTGTTAATGTCTCCTTCAAAAAAATTTGCTTCATTTATTTATGTGTGTGTGTGTGCCTGAGTTTAAGTATGTGCACTACTTGCATGCAGAGTTGTGACCTGCTATGTGGGTGCTGGGAACTGAACCCAGGTCCTCTGAAAAAACAGCAAATGTTTTTCATTGCTATGCCATCATTCTAGACCCTCTTTTTTTCTACTATATGATGCCTCTGAATTATTTTCAAAGTGATTTCCTTGTTTTATCCCCAAAGTTGACACTAGTATTAATTTCTTTCTTTTGCCCTTTGTGACTAGGCTTTCCTTTCTCAACACTACTTCCATAACAGCTCAGCTCTTTTTTTAATTTAAAAATTTTATTTATTATTTTTATCTTATGTGTATGTGTGTATTGCCTGCATGTAGGTAAGTGCACCCATGTTGTGCAATGCCAGTGGAGGTCAGAAGTGGCTGTCAGAGCCCCTGGGACTGGAGTTACGGACAGTTGTTAGCTGCCACGTGGATGCTGGGATTTGAACCTGGGTCTTCTGCAAGAACAACCAGTGTTCTTAACCACTGAGCCATCTCTCCAGCCTCAACAGCTCAGCTCTTTATCCTCACCCTAGGCTTTCCTCTATCCATTCATAGTTCACTGCGAAGTGATTTTTTTTTTCTTCTTTAAAATCATTTTGATCAGGTTGGTAACAGGTTGGTAACGTGTTAGAAAACCTTTACCTGCTCCCTCCTGCACCTTTCCCCCCACTCCACTTCTTGTCTCAGGTAAATATCAGTCTCAATTCCAAAATTCTCTATAACCTGATCTCAGACATGGTACTTCTCTGGTTCTTCTGAGATGAGGGTCTCACTATGTAACACAGTTTGGCTTCAAATTCAACATCTTCCTGCTTCATCCTCTCAAGTGCCAGGATTAAAGGAGTGGGCCACCAAACTAGGCTCACACATAGTACTAGTACATGTAGACAAGCTTTCTTCACTAGCTCCTATGCCTACTGTCATCATTCCTTTCACTGTACTTCTTCTCCATACCCTATTATCACATTTTGACTCACTAAGCTCATTCAACTTCTAGTAATTCCTGACTTCTAATTTAAATATCTTGTTCTCCATTATTTTTCCCAAGCACACTCTATTTTTCTGTCATTCTTAAATAAGAAAAATATTTATGTTCTTACCACATAGTTCTTATCATATAGTTGAATACATTCTATTGCAAATTGTACTTTTAGAAATTATAAAGCTGGGCATGGTGGCGCACGCCTGTAGTCCCAGCACTTGGGAGGCA